CCCCTTTTTTGCCCCCAGGATCACACTTCGATGCCAGCGTCTCTGATTTAGAAATTCCACAAAGCCTTTTTCTGTGCATGGATACTGAATGGGCCACATTATGGCTGAATGCAAAAGCACAGCTAAGGCAGAACAGTGGAGACAATTAAGAAGCTCCCCCCCTTCCACTGAAGACATAATACCCAGATCGAATTAATTTAGAATATTTTCTTCCACTTATTCAACCAGTCATGGATGCATATTGCAGACATACAGGCCAGCCTTAAGAGGAAATCTCCTCATGCATTGTTTGTTTATTTTCTCTTTAATTCATCAATTGGGGGGAAAAAGAGCTGTAGAACTATTCTGGGTCTAAACTAATTCCATATTTGCATCCAAAACTAGTCTTTTCCCTCTGTGTTTGCATAAGGAAGCCCACTGCCAGCTGGTTATTTTTAGGCTATGGTTCAAGGACTTACAGTACTTTATAACTAAGGAAATGGTTTGGAAAACAGGCATTTTGAGGAAAAGAGATGAAGTCAAGTGGAGGCAAAATCATTTGCTGTATCTTTATGTATGCAGATATATCGCAGCAGATTTAGGCCTTTTGTTTTCCTATTGTTTAAAAGAAGCTGAGCCGAGGAGCAGGTTGCATATCTGCAGACTGCAGCCCCGATGTGTCGACACCCGAGCACCATCTTTGGCGAAAGATGCGTCGGCCCATATACACTTACCACACACACACACACACACACACACACACACACACACACATACTGTATACACATGTGTACTCTCTCCAAGTGATCAAGGAACAGTGAGAAGAAGAGAAAAGGCTGTTTAAGAATTTTTTGTAAGGCGACCAGTTATCCTGTGCTCGGCATGAACGCATCAGTCAAACACTAATGCACACTCACTGTAATCTCTGAGCAAGCATCCAGTAATCCCCAGTGAGGCTCTCCACTTCAGGTGATGCTCCCAGTGCAGCTGTTTTGCTTAACTTGATGGTGTTGCTAATGTGCTCATTACTGTTCTGCTGAGCTGATTATCATCTAATGTAAATGAATGCAGCTTTATAATGCAGTGCAGGTGCGCTCCCTGTCGTGTTTTTCCCACTGCCTAATATTTTTCCTCCTTCCCTCCCTCTGTTGTTTTACCTTCCCATGTCTTTAAATACTTCCTGTCTAACTGCCATCCCCTTCTTCTCCACATCTGTCACCTTCACTTTTTGGTTATCTTTTTTCCTTTTAGCTGACCCAAACATTTTCTTTGCTCCAGCCCCTCATGCAGGTCTGACCACAGCTGAGTACTATCAGATGGCTCTGCTGGCGGGCCACCGTAGCCCTTACACAACGGACCTGCTTCCCTCTGTGGCGTCCACAGCCGGTGCCAGCAGCGCCAGTGCCCTGCACATGGAATACCTGCAGGCAATAGATAGTAAGTCTGCGCTGATGTCACACATGGACATGTCCAAGCTATGTTTGGCACAGTGCTGATCTGAGATTAAAACAGCTTCTTGTAATGTGATACGGTGGCCAAACCACTTTTTGTTTGTGAGATTTACAGTGCAGACAATCCATGGAGTTTTCTGAACTTTGTCTTGAAAAATCAGTTCCTCATATTTCTGGCCAAGTTGGATAAATATATTATTCTGTGGTTCATTTTGTTGCTATGTATAATGTAGTGATTTTTTTTATTTATTGTTGCTCTCACTGTGAAAACAGTGGGTACATCTCAGGTCTCTTATATGCACTGTCGTTTCCCTCACTTGTGTCTTTTCCTCGTCTTAGTCCCACTTGTGTAAGATATGAGGAGAGAGGACTCGAGGAAACACATTATTAACAACATGAGACGTCCTTTCCTCAGATCCTTTATCTGAAACATCCAATCATCAACTGATTTCTGATAAAAGGGGCATGTTGTTCATAAAGGAGGAGGCTGCTGGAGGAACCTCGGTCCTAAGAGACTTGAAATGTCCTTGATCAACCGGAACAACTTCCATGTTTACCGAGGAAGTAGGAAAGATCATACAGTATAAAACCCATTACTTTTTTAAATGGTAAACTCCTGTTAAGAAGTAAAACATTTAAGCGCATAAAGGAAATTCAATCCGTCATTTCCTGAAAACGTCAAACTCACCAAATGTAGAGGTAAATGTTTTTTAGTAGCCAATGCAATATTAATTTGAATCAATTTCAGTTGCCGTGGATTTGCCAATCAAGCTAAATTTGGTTAAAAGTGAGGGTTAGGTGTTAGGGTTATAACTGTTGTTTTAACAGCATTTAAATGATTTCAATATGTATCTGATCCTATCTACACTTGAAATTACCTAGCCAGCCAAAAAACTGGACCCGTCAACCAAATGTATTTCTGTAGGTGAAAAGACACCTTCCACATCCATCCCTACTGGGATTGCACCTTGCAGTATTATGAGTGGGTACCTGGGTGGCCCCAGTGGGAATTAAACATTTAAAATGCACTTTCACAACACATCTATTTTGCACTATATATAGACAACGTTACAGCTCAACCACGTTGAGGACCATTACTTTGACATGATTTAAATGAGCTATTGTCTTAATGTGTTGGACAGAAGACTGTGAGCAGAGGACTTATGCTAATGAGTTATTTTAAAGTGTAAATAGGAAATTAAATGCACACTGAATCTTAGAAAGGTCACACAGCCTCACCCTGTTCCCTTTTGATGAGAATGTATTTAGTCAGGCAAACGCCACTTTCATGGAAATCCAGGGTGAAGTTCTCGCTGTTCCTCAGAACAAACTAATTAAAACTAGCCAAACTTGTGTGGGTATCAGAAAATTAATTGCTGTTAAGTGGGAATCGGAACATCCCACCATTCATCACTGGAGAAATCCTTTCTTCTGTGTCACTTTTTAAGATTAATAGACTGAAACAAAACAATTAGGGCCAAATTCAAGTGGAGATGCAGTGCTCCTCACTTAAAAATCGCCTGTGATCATTGCTGCTAATAACTCATTTTAAAGCTTTGTTGGGTTTCAGAAAAAGCATCCAAAGGGCAGAGTCTATCAAGAGGCTTTCGTTGATAATCCGGGCTATCGTGCTTCTGTGGCTATTTCAGCCTATTCTACATCAGTGTAATTATCTTCAGACAGAGCTATGCTAATGAAACAATAGGCCTGTCCTGCCTATTTGTGCTTTAATAGGCCATTGTCTATGTTCACACTGCCTAATTAGTGCCATAGCTCTCACAGCTCAATGCGCTAAAGTCTGTATTTGTGGTCTTATTAGCTCATTTTAATTTCCTTGCTACTTGCTAGACTGTATGATATGTTGTTTGTCTCAGTAATAGGTTCACTCTGAGTAACATTTTAACTACTGTAGTCACTGATTATGTTTCTTGAGCTGTAACATCAGTAGATTGTTTGTTGAGCAGAATTTACTTAAACATTTCCACAACAAAAACTGACACAATATTTATGTTGACAACTAGTTATAAGGATTACTGTCGTTTTATTCATGTCCAGAATCATTGTCTCACTTGGTATCTTGTTCTAAAATAAAGTAAAGCAAATTCTGGGCAGTCATATATTCACACTTCAGGCCTTCCATGTGACAGCGACCCTCTCAGGTGGCCCCCAGGTGTGTCGACAAGACTTCAACTCCAGTTTTGGAGCCAGTTTTTATATCCGATGGCGTCAGTTCGGCCTGCCTCAGCCCTCCCTGGCCATGAGAATTAATGACGTGGCATGTAACTAGCCATCACATCCATAAATCAAGAGGAAATTAGAGGGACAGTCCTGCTATAAGCTTGGACGCTCCTCTCTCTGTCTCCTCCGTTGGCCAATTTATCATTTGGGCGGTGTATTAATAAACACTATTCCCATGAGGCTTTGCAGTGGCGGGATGCTGGCCCTGCTCCTCAGCAGTCCCTCCCTCTCCTAATTCACCTCAAGTGGAGGTTGTCCCTCACACTCCTGTGGACCCGACTTGTTTAAATATTGTCAGGTGTGTCAGATTTCAGACATGGAAAGCTCAATTTCTCCAAACCAGGAGGGTTAAATATATGATTTGAAATGACTGAAGTAACATTAGGTGGCCATCTACATTGTATTTCACAGTTGTGCACAGTCAGGGGTGTAAAGTGTTTATGTATCCCTCCTCTTCAACATCTCCTTCCCTAGGACATGAAAAGACGGATTTGCCATACAATGACAGTGTAAAGGGGGTGGTGTTCTCCACACAGCCTCGTGCCATAGTCGAAACTCGGATCTACAGATGCTAGAGCACCACCACAGAGGCAGACACACATACACATTCACATCCGCACTATGTGATTACCATGTGAATGGAGCGTTCGGTAATCGTTGAATATGTCAAACTAGAGATGGAGCATTTCCGTTTGAGAGATGGATGGATTGTGGGGGATGTAAATATGGAGGGGGGTTATTGGGGCTTCGTAAGATGGTTTTGTTTGCCTTTATAAAATAACTCCAAATGTTTTATTTCCAAATCTTGAGTCACAAAGTCATTGTGTCAGTTCACGCACAAAGCATGACATCTCCACAGCGCTTTTTTTCCCCTCCTTCCATCTTCCTCTGTTTTTCCCTGTCTTGTTTGTGACATCTCCATGTGAAAAGACAACAAAAGTCATGTTTTAATCTCTACCCGTGGCTCATTGTATGTGCATAGAGAATGGTTGTGCCGTTTCCGCCTTTTACCTTTTCAAACCCCCCTTTAGTATTTCCAGTCAACACTGATTGCATTTGAATAACGAGTAAAATTGGACTTGATTAAATATTACCATACACAGTCAGAGCATTTCTCCAACATAAAAGGCATGTTTTCTCATGGATGAAATGCAAGCAGTGCATCAAGTGACAGCTGAACACTCATTCAGATAAGCCTTTGTCTGATGATTGACAAAAATGGCATCTGTTAGGGTTAGATTAGGTTAGGATGAAGTCAAACAGAAAATCGTGTAAAAGCCACTACTATTTTTTTGATCAGTAACTTGTTTGTAGGAATTTAGCAGATGTTTGTCTCCAAAAAACACAGAACAAAGAGCAGATTCACAGTTTTAACCATTCACTTTCATGGCAGCCACTTGCCAGTCAGCCTTTTCTAGTAAATCTCCTCTTTCCTTATCCTGAAGGCTCTCGTTTCCCAAGCCCGAGGCTGCCATCACGGCCCAGCAGGAAGCGACCCCTGCCCATCTCACCTCTTTCTGAGCACAGCTTTGACCTGCAGAACAGGATCCGCAGCTCGCCCAACTCTCTTGTCGCCATGCTCAACAACTCTCGCTCCAGCTCCTCCACCAGCGGCTCCTATGGTCACCTGTCTGCTGGAGCCATCAGGTAGCACACTGCATTTGGAAAATGATCTTTCTTGCTTTTGACAAACTTGGGCTACAGTAGTTCTAGTCAGCGTATTAGAATATAATGAACAACTTTTTGTTGTCAGTCCAATTTAAAAGATGTAATAATATGGTTCACCCCATTAAAAAAACATATTTAAGATAATTTGGTTTCATTATAATTTAAAACTTTATTTCTATGAACATCTTGTAAGTTTATTACTTCAAAGACGCACATCAGTATTTTTTTTTACATGAAGTTTAGTTTATTTGTCACATACATTTACTTTTATAACGTTAACATATTGTGACGACCGCTAGCTCGGTTGAGAGGAGCTGGCCCGACCCTGTCCTATACTGGGACAACTAACTAGCCAGCTACGCGCTAGCACCTACGCTGACAGTGAGGAGAACACCTTTGTTGTCTTTTCTTGGGTTTTATTGAGCAGAATAGAGAAAGCAAAATAACTGTGAAATACCTGGCACTGTGTGCTCACAGGAGAATGAAATAGCAAACTGAAAACAGTAACAATATTCCCTCAGAGCATCCCGTGTCCCGCGCCAACAGAATCTAAAACAACACGCCCACCTGTCATCCCTCTTAACTCCTCCCGCACCTGTTCCTCCCCCCCATCCCACATTGGCCAGAACAGCGCGGCCAATACTAGCTTAGCTAGCTTCTAAACTAGCCGACCTAAAGAAGCAAGTTAAATTTGGTAGTTAGCAAGAACTTCTGCAAAACAAGTGCTTTAAGTGGTGCAAGCGTATGTTGTCACTCAAAAATTCAGATGAACCTGGAAAATAGTGAGTTTAATTCCTAAACAATCTGGAAGCAAGCACAACGCAGTGCAAATACAGAAAACAGGAAATGAGTACGGTTTACCGCAGGAAACAGCAGTCCGTCAAAGGTTCCCAATAATGGCAGCTAATATGTTTATCCATATACCTGCCTGTATACACACACTGTCCACCCAGTCATTGTCAGTTTCCAGTGAGTCTACTCTGCCTCTGTCTTCTTTTGTCGTACTGCCCAAATGTCCCATTTGTCCTCCATTTGGGTTTGTTGCAGTCTCACAACATGCGCCAAGTTTTTCCATCAAATTGATTTCTTTGACAATCTGTATCCACTGTTCCTGAGCCGGAGGATGCCCCTATTTCTATTTTGCAACCTTTTTACAGTCCACTATTAATAATTTCAGGTTATTTGTCTTTTTGTCATACAGGACCATATTGTGGCGACCCTGACCGGCCGCTGATGTTCATGTGTTCTGTTGTGTGTGAATGGGTTTGACAATGTTATTGAAGGCTGTTCATGTATTGGTTACTGCTGTTGTCTGCAAAATTGTTATTCATGTCGGCGCTAATGACTCCCGACTTCGCCAGTTGGAGGTCACTAAAATTAATGTTGAGTCGGTGTGTAACTTTGCTAAAACAATGTCGGACTCCGTAGTTTTCTCTGGGCCCCTACCCAATGTGACCAGTGATGACATGTTTAGCCGCATGTCGTCATTCAACCGCTGGCTGTCTAGGTGGTGCCCAGAAAATAACGTGGGCTTCATAGACAACTGGAAAACATTTTGGGGAAAACCTGGTCTGATTAGTAGAGATGGCATCCATCCCACTTTGGGTGGTGCGGCTCTCTTATCTAGAAATCTGGACGAGTTTGTTTTACAACCTAAATTATGACAACCCAGAGTTGAGTCCAGGATGCAGGGTCGCAGTCTTACACGCCTCTCTGCTGTCTCCTTGCAGCTGCTACCCACCCAACGCTCCCAGTACCCCATAGAGACTGTGTCTGCCCCCCGCCCACCTAAATTATATAAATCAAGAATCAACTCCAGAGGAGTTATTCATAAGAACCTAATTAAAATTAAGATGACTCCTCTTATAGTAGAAAGTAATAGGACAATCAAATGTGGACTATTAAATATCAGATCTCTCACATCTAAATCTCTGTTAGTGAATGATTTGATAAGTGAACATCACATTGACTTATTGTGTCTTACTGAAACATGGTTAAGGCAGGAGGAATATGTCAGCCTAAATGAATCCACTCCACCTAGTCACAATAACTGTCAAAGCCGTCGAAACACAGGCCGAGGTGGTGGCGTGGCAGCGATCTTTGACTCAAGCCTATTAATCAACCCTAGACCTAAACATAGTTATAACTCATTTGAAAGTCTCACCCTGAGTCTCTCACACCCAAACTGGAAAACTCAAAAGCCTGTTCTGTTTGTTATTGTATACCGTCCACCTGCTCCTTATTCAGAGTTTTTAAGTGAATTCTCAGACTTTCTGTCTGATTTAGTGCTTAGTACAGATAAAATAATCATAGTAGGCGACTTTAATATTCATGTAGATGCCGACAATGACAGCCTCAACAATGCATTCTGTTCATTATTAGACTCAGTTGGCTTCTCTCAAACTGTAAATAAACCCACTCACTGTTTTAATCACACTCTTGATCTGGTTCTGACATATGGCATCAAAACTGAACACTTAATAGTTTTTCCCCATAACCCTCTTCTGTCTGACCATTTTCTAATAACTTTTGAATTTCCATTAATGGATTATACTCTATGTGGGAAACAATTCCACTACAGCAGATGTCTATCTGGCAATGCTGTTACCAAGTTTAAGGAAATAATTCCATCTTTATCTACTTCAGTGCCGTTTGCCAACACAGTGGAAGGAGGCCACCTTAACTTTACTCCAACACAAATCGATAATCTTGTTGATAGTACTGCAGCCTTCCTGCGTAATACACTTATACCATTGCCCCTCTGAAAAGGAAGGCAGTGAAACAGAGGCGGCCCTGTGGTACAGCTCGCAGCTCCACTCCCTAAAGCAGGCATCACGAAAAATGGAAAGGAG